CAAAATCCCTGGAATCTCGTACTCCATAGTGGGGCTCCTTGAGTGAAAAAGCAGCAGGGGTGACTTTTAACCTTCCCTGCCAGCTTCCCTATTGACTGCTTGTGGGAAGCTGACAGTAAAGGTTACAAATGGTGATCTTGTGACTGCTGGATGCTGCAATCATCGTAAGTGCGAACTGATTGCCAAGTGCCCAAATCATGATCATGTGACTGCGGGGTTGATGGAATGGCCAGAACTTCAAGGACCGGTCGTAAGTACCACTCATTCAGTACTATCATAACTTTGAACGGTTGCTGAATGCCTGGTGGTAACTGAAGAACTACCTGTATTTTTTCCCCAAATCATCTAATGTAAAGACTTAACTTTGTTAGTCAATCAGTTATGGATTTTGTTACTAGAGCATGTTAGTCTGGGCTGTCTGCTGATTTAGTATTTTTAGCTGTTTTTATGTCTTTTACTTTTGTGTGCAGCCCAGAGTCCATTGGAGATGGGCAGCCAATAAATTAAAATAAATAAATTACTATCTCTACCTCAAGGTATGACATCACAATTGTAGCATCTACTTAGCTTATAAATAAATATAAGATGCTCACTTTTGGTCCTCCTTTGCTTTTATATTCTCATGCTGAAAGGTACCCCCAAAGTATTTCATACAAATTATATTTGAAATAAACTATTAAAAATGGAAAAAGAATAAAAGGGCACCGAAATCAGAATTAGGTTAGTGTTGTAAGTGACTTCACATGGAATTTAGCACAATGACAAGATTCCAAACTACAACAGACTGAGTACCTTGTTTTACCCAAGAGAAAACAACTTCTAATAATAAACTGTTTTGAAATTGTAATGCCAATTAAGTGCCTCACTGACTGCAAATAGATGACTACAGACAAATGTTTTATAAAACGTAATTTCAAATACCTATCAGCCTTTTAATTAATTCACTTTGATACAGTTCATACCTTATCCTGCTGCCAGTCAAGGGAGTTGCATTACATTGTAACAACATTCTTGCTCCCCTCAATGCTTTTCTTGAGAGGAGCAAGAAGAATTATTTTTAGGAAATTGTCTGAAGTGTTCTGAGCCTGCAACTTTTCTTGAAATATGCTTTCCTTTACCATTTTCCACATGATCCTTTTTTAGAAAAATGAAAGAAAGTGGATGGTGCATTGGGGAAGTTTCTAAAATTAAAACCCACCTCCTGTATCAGTGGTTTTGAACAGATGGCACATGTAACACATGGGGGTTTGAGAAGTAGGATAAGTCATTAAAATGGCTTATTATAAATGATCAAAATAATAACAAAACAGTTGTAAACATAAAAAGCCTTTGGAAAAGTGCCCTTGTTTTTATTATAATGGGTCCAAATTGGCTACTTACCTTGAACTGCAGTTCTTCAACTGTGAATGCACACCTATTGGTTATGCACTGGTACAGAGATGTGCTTCTAGAGCTTACAGCAATGCCCTTCCAAAAGTTGCTTCCCTCTGCAACGAATATCCAGTTGATAATGTTGGATGAAAGTGAATGGCTCCTCAGCATAGCACCTTACCCAAGAGGAAAGCTTTCAGTGTTGCAGCATACAAATCTAAATAAATAAATAGGAACAGTAATCCAACTTTCATGCATTCAGGTTTTATTCCTACCCTACCTGATTGATTTCTTGGCCTCCTCTTTCAAGCAAGGTGCTCTGCCCTTTGTTTATCTTAAGAGTCACACTGGCTGTGAGTATTAACTCTCACACAATCAGTGAAGCAGATGGAGAAAGCTCAGAGGTGAGCTCCATATCGGGACATGGGTGGTGGAAAATATGAAGTGTACACCTCTTTTGAGATCATGTAAAATCATCTGGAAAGAACTGTCTTATATCTGAGCCCAGAGGAGTGGAATGGTGGTGCCACACCTGTAAGAATACGTGGGAAGGCAATTTCCTTGATGCCAAATTAGTGTAGTAGACCAGGATTCTTGGCAGGAGTGGAGCATCTGGTTCTCTCTCCAAGAGATGAGATGCCTCAGATGTGGAAGCTTTGGAGGAATATGAGAGGCTACAATAGCTTCAAAATCTGCCACCCTCAGATCTAGCTCCCAAAGTATGACTCACAAATGAGATAAATGGTTGCAATAAGCATATTAAGCAAATTCCTGGCACTGTTTACAAGCATTTTGCATGAACTTCAAGGCAAACAGGACAAGTTTGTGGTGCCTGTTAGAGAATTTTGTTCCCATAACACTACTTGCAAAATGGCCCTTTAAACTGAGCCATAAAATTTAAGTCCAGATGACTTTCAGTGGGGAGGATGTGGCGATTTTTTGACAAGCATTGAGAGGAGGTAAGAATATTTAAGAATGATCAGAGCTCAAGGAAAAACAATATGTTAATATTGTGGCAGCAAGAGCTGCACCTGTACAGGTGTATAACCCATATATGTGAATCACAGAGACTATAATAGAGCATTCTATGGCAGGACTCTGTAAACTGGGTTATACAGAACTGGAAGGTTCCACAGGGACTTGAATGGGTTCTGTGAGGGCCTATGAACTGAACACACTTAACCGTTCATTCCTGCCTTGACTCTGCTCTTCCTCTCTCGCTGACTGTACATGGCCATTGTTTGCAAGCGCTCCATAAAGAAGGTGACTGGTTGGCTTTCCCTTGCACCATGTGCACACACAAAACCCAACTCTCTACCTGCCCCTGAACTCGGACAAATATTTCTAACTCTGCAGGAGCAATTGTAGTGAGTCCCTCTCCCCCTCTTCCTTCACTTACCACATTGCAAACAGAATTTGTGTCCTTGCGGGTCCCCAAGAGGGCTGCTTAATAATCAAGAAAGCATCTTACTTAGGAATAAGGTCCACCTGTGGAAGAATTAATATGGCAAAAGAAAGCAAAGATAGTGTTATAGGTGCCTTGGGTGCAATGCCAAAACATCTGGAGCACCACTTGAAGACCATCGGCACTGGCAAAATCACCATCAGTCAATTGCAAAAGGCAGCTTTACGTGGAACAGCTTACAGCCTGCAATGATACCTTTAACACCATCAAACAACATCTGCCTATCCCAGGTCCTTGGGAAGGACTCGATAGGTGGATAAAAATTCCAAATCCAGCATAACATCTGGCAGACTGTGCAACCAACAATAATACATTGCACCATTTGGCTGCACTGCACACGGGCCAAACAACATCTGCCTATCCCAGGTCCTTGGGAAGGACTCGATAGGTGGATAAAAATTCCAAATCCAGCATAACATCTGGCAGACTGTGCAACCAACAATAATAAATTGCACTCTTTGGCTGCACTGCACACGGGCCTCAAATCCCTTTGGATTAGGGTT